CGGCGTGGGGCGCGGAGTCTGCTCCTGGCTAAGTGGCAGCCCTCCTGGGGCTCGGCCGCTTTCTCAACGTGCACCGCCCCTCCACCCCAGCCCCTGCGAGTCCTCGGGGAGGGGGGCAGGCAGGGGGGCCGGAGTCTCAGCTTCTCGTGGTCTCGAAGGCGGGGGGCGGCAGCTCGGGACCAGGGACGCGAGGACGGCAGAGGGCAGCAGAGGGAGGCCCCGCAGAGGGCGCGAGGCCCGAAGCCCACCAGGTCCCAGCCTTAGCCCCGCACCCTGAGCGAAGGGCGTTACGCCCAAAAATGAAAGGAGAGAGAAAAGTAGATCATTTACAAATAACACCAAACCCTCCTTGCTGGCGGGAGGAAATTTCAAGAAGTGAGTGGTGACTGGCATGCGGTTATCCCTGGGATTGTTAAATTACCTTTTTCCCTTCTTTCTTTTACTCTTCATGTGAATTGAACTCCATCATTTCTCGTTCCTCTGTGTTGTACCATTTCAAGATGACCTCTGGGTCCCGCTCCACCCTCAGTCGGGTGGGGAAGGAGGACTCGCACTGAACTTGATGGGCTTGAGTTTAGCCCAAAGAATTCTCTTTAATGCAGAGGTCCCGTGTTATCTGAAGACATTCATTTAAAGCCCAACTCCTGGAAAGCTCCATCATTTTCATTCCCACTCCTTTCCCCTGACCCCACAGTCTGGGAGGTTAGCCAGGAAAAAGAAAGTCTTTTTACAGATCAGAAACTGAACATAACGAAGCCACTTCAGCTTCAGGAAAAGTGATCTGCGAGATCTAATAGTAGCTAAACTAATCTTCTTAGGGTGTGCATTCTGTCACAGGAATATTCTGTTGCTCTCACACACACAGATCGTGCACACTCACAAAACACTATTAACAGGGATACTTCCAGCCTCTACTCCTACAGTAGTCGCAAACTTACAACTCAATCGATTGTCTTCCCATAATCTTTTTCACTCTCATATATACACAAAATCATGTTTTTTTTTAAAAATACTCGTTCTCTTCCACCCACTCCAGACTTGTATGATCCTCTTTTCGTACAGGTCCCTTATACATACTCATGCGCACACGCTTGTTAAGATGCCACTGCCTGTGAAATCCGTGGAGTTTCTGTTCATTCAATCATCCACTGAAAACACCTATACCAGGTGCTGTTCCAGAGGTGTTTTGAACAGACCTGTGTGGGGGACTCTTAGTCCAGTGGTGGAGACAGGTTGGAAGGCAGATGTTCATGAGCTTTGTGTTAAATGGTGTGAATCCAGACCGTGGAAAGAAGCAAAACCTCTGTAGCTGGTAGAAAGCAAGGAAGCAGAGGGAGAGAGAAATTTCTCTGTATTGCAAAAACCCATAGGTCAACATAGGACATAAATAGAGCAATCATCATTTACCCACATGGTTGAGTAGAATTAGAAAGATACCTCTGTCAGAAAATGTTGTAATTGTGCATTTCATTGCAAAGTAGGAACAAATTCACTGTACTCTGAATGACTGTTTTTTCTTCCAATTTCCCAGCTCCAATTAACGAGACCTCTCTTTGCAGTTAGGTACATGCCTCATCCTTCCCCTGATTGAGGTCAAGGCAGTGTGGTCACCTAGGATGACAGGCGTGGGGATTTGCATATAAATCCATGTGCCTGTTAATAAGTGAAGACATTGTAGTGTAGAGGTAGGCCCTGTTTCACAAGGTCCCAGAGCACTTTCTATTAAGATCCTTGAGTCCATGCTGCTTCTTTGAGTCCCCTACTCCCCACCCTGCTTGCTCACATTGAAAATACCCAGGAGTGCCCAATTTGTCCACTGAGAGGCAGGCAAGCAGCCATTTTCTCAAGGCTTCCTTATTTAGCTTTGGAGATGGTTTTAAATAGGCAGGTGGTTGTTGCCATGGTTACCCCATTACACCAGCAGCTAAACTTAGGAAGGGCCACAAGGGATAGGAAGAAAGCTTGATACTGATACCAGGGATTTGGAAATGTAAACGATATTATCAAACAAGGCTTCGTTTTACTCAGCTGAATATAGGTTTTTCCAAAGAGTAGTAACTGGTTGGCTGGATGCCCTTACCATTAACGCTCTGGACTGGGCCCTCAGGAATAACCCTGAGGTTAAATCTAGGAAGTTGTAACTGTTTTTGTTTTGTTTTGTTTTGTTTTGTTTTGTTTTGTTTTGTTTTGTTTTGAACATGGGAATGTGACTAGAGGGGGATGAATTTATCGGGAAACTTGAATCTTTCCCATAGCTCATTGAGTTTTCAGTGCTATTCTAACAAGAATTGTTCATCTGAGGCACAAGTGCTGTGGGAGCTCTGAGGGCA